CCCCAAAACCCCAAAACCCCATGAGAATGAGTTGACAATAATAATAAGTAGAGGAGATTTTATTTGGAAATTAAAATTTATTTTACTTATTAGAATCATTCTTACATGAGACAAAGCAGAGTAAGATCATTTTCAAATCTTATCAGTTTTCTAGGGTCACGAACCAGTAAAGATCAAGAGTGCTGAAAAAGATTAACTTATCGCTGAGTTAAGATAGCAACTATATGATTTAAAGAGCCAAGACAGAGACTACCGTGGTGTAAGCGATGAGATCATTAACACAGAGAATCGCTACAAGATACTAGCTGATGATAAAGTACGTTTTCCTGTGTGTTTAATGCTCTAAATAGGTGAGATCAGATCTAGAGCAAAGAGCCAGAATCAACAGAGATATGGATGAAGTTGCCGACCTTAGAAAGTAGATTGACGATTTGAAGTACTTGCTTGCTGAAAAGTAAATAAATTTTATTTATATATAACTGTATCTAATGAGCCTTCATTTATAGGACTAAGCAAGGTATGGATTTACAAGATGAATTACAAAGATCGAAGAGAGTACTTGAAGAGAAACACTATGAAGGAATTAGATTAAATGATGAGAATTCTAAGAGATCTGATTCCAATCTCGATTTAAGAGAGAGAGCTAACGAGCTAGAAAAGGAAATTGAATACTTAAAAGCCCAAAAGGCAGATAACTGGAGAGAAATCAACAGACTGAAAGAAGTGAACGATTAGAGAGTAAAGGAAGGAGGTGACCAATAGGACAGATTGAAGTCCCTCGACTACGATTTATCAAGAACATAATTGAGAATCGAAGACACTCAAAAACTTATCGACGCTAGAAGCTACGACCTTAGAAATAAATAAATCCTCCTCGACGATGTTCATAAGGAACTCGCCAGAGTAAAGGAGCTTAACATTAGACAGGGTTCTGAGGGATCTCTCTTAAGAAGAGACAACGACAAGTCATAAGCAGAAATCTATGACTTAAGAAAAGAAATTGACTATAGCATCGCTAGAAACGGTGATTTATCAACTCAAATTAGGGACCTTGAATTCAGAATAAAAGATAAGGATGATCAGTTATACGCTTTGAGAAAGGATCTTGACTCGTAGAAGTATTCCAATTCATCTCAAAGAGACGCCAATGTAGACTTGCTGAATGAGAAGGACGCTCTTGAGAAGCACTCCGCTGTTCTTCAAGGACAAAATGCTGACATCACTAGAGAGCTAGATAAATTCTGCGAAACTGACGAGTACGTGAGAACTCAACTCGACAGAAGAGGCAGAGTTTACGGAATGAGATCAAAGAACGAGAACGAGCTCCAACAAAGCTACTACAGGATTGAGGAGGTTAGATCTAGATCCCCCCAAAGAAGATACTGAGCAATTTTCTATGTTTGATCATATATAAGATTTTTCTATATTCTAAGAAATGTTAAGTTATCACTCAATATTTGGTTTGAAGCGTATTAATTTAGTTCCCCTTTCTGAATTTTAAATTTCAAATGTTAAGAATAATTCTGGCACATGGGGTTTTGGGGTTTTGGGGTTTTGGGG